ATTCTACCTAGGAAGTTGAGGCCACATGACAACCAACTCAGTCTCTGAAATGAAGTCTCAAATGTTTCAGCATTAGCAATTGTTGTAGATTGAGCTTGGTGGTATTATGATGAGTTCTAAATTGTTTTCTGTTCCTTGGGAACCGAATGGTTGTCTAGCTTGATTAACTTGTACTCAGATTACAGGATGTAAAAAGCTGGAGAGGGTGAAAGATCGTTCAGTCCTTTCCACATGTAAAGAGTGAAAGATCAGTGGTTTTGATATATGAACTGCAATAAGATCTTAAATGTTAAAAGCCAATGGATTTTTGACGTTGTTGTCGAGTATAGGCTGATGGGGAATGACTGGTTTTGTAGGTGGTATGTCAGATGTAAGTAATAGGATTTGCATGTTCATGAAATGTGATAAGAAAAAGGAGAAAGAAGGTGTTAAGCTTAATCTGGAGGAGGATGAAGTGGAAGATAGTTTTCATGTTGGAGTGATTTTTACCTCTATGAACTGGATTGGAATTTGCATCCAGGAGCCTATCATTTTGCTGTTGCTTGCTTGAGCATGGAAGAGAGTAGCTTATCATACATCATTAGTCAACTATTACTAAGGTTAAGACAAATGGGAATCTTCTAATGCTTGTGAAGTTGCTAAAGCTATTTTTGATTTGTTCTCTCTGTTGTTAGTCTCATTTTATTTATGATTTTACTAGTCATCTACTATTTATTAGTGTCCAATAAATTTATTATATTTTTTAAAGAACAAATTTTTGTGAATTAATACTATTTAATGTTCTTTAAAAACATAAAAAGGGCAAAGGTCCATTCAATTAACTTTTTTAAATGGAATTAATATTATTTAATTAGTGATCTAAATACAATTTAAATACTGGAATTTTTATCTCTGTCAATCCAGTATTGTGGTTTAGTTTTTCTAATCGTTTTAGAAAATAATTTTTAAGGCTTTTTTGGTACCTAAAAATATTTGATAGTCCCTTTTTTTTTTTGTAAATTAATATGTTTTATGCATATATTAGAGTTGCAGTGAGATGAACAATGTACAAATAAAATAATTTAAGAAAAATATTTAAAATTTTCTAATTCTATTTTTATTTTTGTTATAATATTTTTTAAAAACTAATTTGTATTATTTATCAACCAAATACTTTATAAATTTTGGAAAACATTTTAAACATACCAACATAGTTTTATTTTTTTTAGAGAATATTTATTCGTAAAATATTATAGAAGTTTAAGGTTAAAAAAAGTTTAGAAATAGAAGAAAAATTTTAAAAAATAAAAATTAACAACTTTAAGCCTAAAATTAGAACGAAGTTAATAATTAATTTAAAAAAAAAAAAACAAAAGGTCAAATTTTGCAATTATATTAGTGCAGGTTTGTCTATTTGAATGGTAGTGTTTCCATCTCTTGTAAGACTAGATATGCATTCAATAAAACTTAACAATCTTGCCTCGAAAAATTAAGAATCAAGATAAATTCATCTAGCACTGAAGCAAGTTTTAGCCTCTAGTCTTCTTTCCATTGTTAGATTCTTCAAAAACATGTCTTGAGATGTGTATTTAAGAAATCTAACCACTGAGTTGTGGTGATTCGATTCGATATAAACTCTAGTAGACTAAAGGAATATGCCAAAAGAAAAACAAAACTGCAATTGCAGATAAATTACTACCTTCCACCATTTCTACCAGCAAGAAACGAAGAAAGTGATGAAGCTGGACCTGGCTGAGCATCAAAATAAGAAGAATTTGTATATGAATTCACATAATCTTGAGACTGTATATCACCACCAACATTACCTTTCTTTCTATCAAATGCATCAGCTGCTGCCACTACCTCAGCAAAGGGCACTTCCCTTTCCAATAACCTTACCACCTCCCTCATTGTAGGCCTTGCCTCTGCTGCATTGTTAGAGCACATTAACCCAAGTTTCAGCACCATATCAGCCTCAACCTCATCAAACTCACCCTTTAATCTTAGGTCAACCACCTCAAGGACTGAACCATTTCGCCATCTGTCCCAGACCCAGTCCACCAATATGAGCTCCTCGAGTAATGCCTTGGGCTCTACGGGTCTTCTCCCACACACAACTTCGAGCATCAGTGCCCCAAATGCAAACACGTCAGAACTTGTTGTTGGCTTGCCTGAGCGTGTGAGCTCTGGAGCAAGGTAACCCAATGTGCCTACAACCCTTGTTGTGCTTGGATTGCCATCATGCTCATATAGCCTGGCTAGACCAAAGTCACCAAGTCTGCCATTCAGCTCAGAGTCTAACAACACGTTTCCTGCTTTGATGTCTCTGTGAATCACAGCCTTCTCCCATTCCTCGTGCAAATATAAAAGCCCTGAGGCAACTCCTTTGATGATCTTGAACCTCTGTTCCCAGTTGAGAATTGCTATTGGTTCATCAAAAAGGTACTTGTCCAAGCTCCCATTAGGCATGTAATCATAGACAAGCAGCAAATTTCCTCCTCGCCGACACCATCCAAATAGCTGAACCAGATTTCTATGGCGTAAATGACCTATACTCTCAATCTCAGACAAGAACTCTTTCAACCCTTGTTTAGATTCATGAGAGATTCTCTTGACAGCAACTTGGGTGTTGGAGTTAGGCAGTTTCCCTTTATAAACCTTGCCAAATCCACCAAACCCCAGTAGTTCTCTGTCTCTAAAACCCTTCGTAGCTGTCTTGAGTTCTTCGTAAGAGAACCTATGAGGACCAACACCCAGCTCCCAATCTTCAATCATGTCCGCATTTTTTATCTTTCTGATGAGGTAAATTGCCAACCCAGCAGCCACGATAATCAAAAGAGAGGCTGAAAGGGAAACAGCAAGAATCAAACCAAGATAGCTCTTTCCAGGACCAGGAAGAGAAGGAAGTGAAGACAGAGGCAGAGATTCAGCTTCACCACTCATGTTAAAGCTCCAACCTAGTATGTAATGTGAGCTTGTAAGCGAATCACCAGTTGAAGAAGAGAAGCCAACGTACATATTTTCTCCCAGAATTGGTGACAGATCCACATCAAATGACAGAATTGGCAACTTGGGTTTTGTTGAAAATGGTGAAAGCTTGACTTCCAATCGATTTTTGGTCGAATCATAATCAATCCAAGCTTGCAAAACCTTACCACTCTTAAGGTCAAGCTTCTGCTTCGTTCCATTTTCGACAAAATAGGCAGCAGGAACTGAGGCATTGGACTCCACGCTGTTTATATCAATGCCTACATGATCATGATCACCTCTATGATTAAACCCATCCTTCACAGTATCAAACTCAACTGCAAGAATATGGTTGGAGAAGTTCCCCATATTGGTAGCGTTGAGCAGACCCAAGTAGTCCGCGGGAAGAGAGCCCGGAAGCGTTTTTGAAGGGGAGATGGTGAAAGCGAAGCCATGGCCGCCCAGCTTCGGGTAAGCAGGATCTATGGCAAAAGCAAAAGCCGTAGAAAAAGAGAGAGCTTTTCCATATGTGCTGTTCTTGAACTTGATTTGCGACGAATAAAATGCATGGCCGATTAAACGCCGAGTAGTGTTTGTTAAGTGAAGGAGACCCTTCTTGTCAATCTCTGCAACTCCATTTAAGCTCATGTTGGTATCTGCATCATGGAATCCGTTGAAGACGAACTCGTCGAACTGCGAGAAAACAAGGTGGTTGGGGAAAAGAAGAAAGACCCAGAAAATTAGAAAGAGCTCTTGTGCCATGCAGTCGTTAGTTTTTTCTGTATCAAATTGTATTGAAGGTAGAATCTTTTGCAAATATTAATGGTTAGAGATGAGTTTGAATGTGACTAAAATGGTGGGAAACAGGGTTTTTCGTTAAAGAATTTTCTGGTTAGGGTTTATGCAAAAGAAAAGAGACTGTATTGGTGCAGAAGGAACATCTCACACGGGATTGCAGACTGATATTGTAGGCAACCAAGTAACTAGAAGCCATTTTGAAGCTCAGCCTTCAGAACTCCATTCTAAGATAAAAATTCCCACTTTTGCCATTTCTTTTGGGCCCTTATAATTCAACTTAAATTATCTTTCTGCCTCCCAAATTAACAGTTTTTTTAGTGTTGATAGTACTAACGGGTTCGATCTGCAAAACCTGATTTTAAGTGTTGACCATGAAAAGTTGACAATAGAGGCGTGGATGAAGAGGATGTCGGTTACACAGGAAAAATCACCTGTGGAGTGAGTATGGGACGCAGAGAGTCGCAGCTAATCAACTAGAAATCCGCCACGTGGCAATTAACCTGTCCCACTTATTTTATTATTTATCTTTCAAGTCTGCACAATCTCATTTTAAATATTTAAAACATGAGCTTCAATTCAGACAAGTTTATTCTCAATTTAAAAGTCAATATAATTGGGAGGCGTACTCTCTATATTAATTATTTAGATTTGATTATTTTAAATAGTAATTTAAAAGCAAAAATTTGAATATATATATATATATATAATTGACACGAGAGAGTGTGTCGTTGAAATTGGGTTTAAAAAAATTAATATCGACATAAAAAATTTGGTTGGAAATTATAATTATGGTCAAAATTGTTGAGAATTTTGGCAGGACAAAAAAATGTGAAAGGAATGTATGGGTAGAGAAAAAGGTTAGGGGAAATGCCTGACTAAGTTTATTATATTAGTAAAGAGGATTCGATTATGTGCCTGTTATTATTTAATTATTAAAATGTATAAATTTTTATAAAAAATATTTAATTTTTATTAAATTATAAATTATATTGGAACAAGAAGTTATTATGTAGTTTTAGCTTAATAGAATCATTTAAATAGTTTACAAAAAATAATTTATGTTCTCAATGCATATAATAATAAAAGCACCATGAATTATGTTCTCAATTATAATATATGATCAAGAATACATATTATACTAACTAGATTCAGATGATAAATATGTTATTTTTTGTTGAATAATAAAAATTTTTGGTTTACTTTTAATGCCGTGAATAATAATAATTTCGTTGCGATAATTAAAATTACAGGGTTTTTTTTTTCGGTGCATTAACTATTTTCTTGCAATGCAAAAAACAAAAAGATCAAATGATGAAACACTTCCATAAGATCATAGTTTACATTACCACACAAAATTAGGATACAAATCCATTAGAAAAGAAAACAGACTTTTTCGAAGAAAAAAAAAAGGAAAAGAGAGAGAGGAAAAAAAGGGGGAAATAAAGAGAATATTGTGATTAAAACTTCATTTCACAATTGCTTGTGTGATTAATTCTTCTTCTTCTTCATCAGGTTGGACCCATTTACTAGAACTTGTGAATAGAGCTTGGCATGATTAAAATTTTCCAGTGTTCATGGCATCCCGGTTGGCATCACCAAGAGCTGCCTCCTTGAGGTAGGTGTCAGCTAATTGAACTCTCTTCACATTCTCTTGCTCTTGCACAAGCATGTTACCGTACTCGAGAAGCTTCTCGATTGTCATCGTTGGTTGCTCGAATGTTGGGGGTCCTTCCAATGAGTTTACAAGCTTCTTTCCAACACCCTCAACTCCAACACCCGAGATCCACTTTCTCACTTCATCATCGTACACTCTTGCCCTAAGAGCCCCGAAGAAATCTGAGGAAACAAACACAACCAACCAAAAGCATTTTTATTACTCATATCCATTATGCTGTGTAACTGTTGTTGGATAAAATTAAACCATTCTACACAAGAATGATCCAATATTTCATATGTATATGTACAATTTTGAAAGTTATAACATTTTAGATCGTATTTTCCTACACAATGTAAATCTTAATTTAATATAGTGAAATCAAGGTACATTAAAACATAAATAAATAAGCATGTTGTCTAGATTCAAACCTATATATTATATGACTCAAGAACTTAAAACCAAGATGGGATAACGGAGGATGAGTTAAGTTACCAATGGATTGACCAGGGAAGGTGTCAACAAGCTTGACAATGTCATCATCAGGGACATTATCGCTTCTAAAAATTCCTTTGCAGACACCAATCCGATCCTCACGAGTAGGTGCCCAGTAAAATTTCTCCATACGACCATCACGGATGAGAGGAGCGTACAAAGTTGAGAAATCGTTACCAGTAACGATGATCGGGACACGAGGGTTCTCCTGCTTGTTGTACATACCAGGGAGCTGGACATTTGTTGGGTTATCAGCAATGTTCATTAGTGTAGCATTAACCATCTGGTTGTTAACAGTGTACTGTGTGGTTCCACCAAGTCGACCAGCTCCTGCATCGAGATCGTTGATGAAGAGGGCACACATTTTGCCCTTCTTGATTATGTCTGCTGCCTCACGGTACCTTTGGCGGATTAGCTTGGCGGGTTCTCCGGCATTCCCACTTTCCAATTCTCCGGCGCTCATCATGATAGGGCTGAAGATTGATTGAAGAAGAACATATGTCAATATGTTGGTTTCTTGTGTTACAAGAAAATAAAACGTACTCACTTGATTCCCATCTTGGCAAAGACGAGTTCACATTGGAAAGATTTTCCCTGTCCTTTCCCTCCCCAGATACCCAAAATGAGAGGAACCTGTGGCCCATTTTCAGAAAAAGAAAAATTCAACCAAAGCACTTTTGTCCATCAAATAATTTCAAGTTAGCAACTTTTTTAACTCCTGAACTATATAAACAAAGTAGAAAATATATATTGATTGATGTATCTGTGAAGACATTAGACTCTGCGTGTGTGTGTGTGTGTGTGTACCTTGATGCTGGGAAGGCTCATGAAGTTCTTGGTGATGTGAACAACCAGTTTGTCCATGAAAGCAGGAGCAATGTACAAACCACCCATGTTGTTGTCGATGTCATACCTAATTGATCAAATTCACATACAATTAAAATTTGAATTGAAGAAAATACGTGAAGCAATCTCTAACTTATGCACATATATATATATATGTATGTATATACTAATTACGTACGTTCTAAGTCCGGTACTTAAGTATTCATAGGAGCTCATGACAGCATAGTGAGTGCCGGCGTCCTGGGGAGCCTGGAAGAGAGAATCGACCATACCCTTTCCTCTGGTAATGTCTTGCTGGTCGTCGGAAATATCGTAGGCCAGCCCTTGCCACCTGTCCTTGCTCGTTTGCTTCTCTTCGTCAATGTCTTCCGCCGCCACAATCTTGAAGCTCCCTGACGAAACCTTTCCGCTGTTCATGGTCGATCTTCCCGTCAGTTTCTTCAACCCGCTCCCCATGAAGGCTGAGCTCGGCGCCGCTGCTGATCCGCCACCGGACCCATTTAAGCTCAACTGCACCAGAACAATTAATTCCACTGTTTTAGACTAATGTACAGAATTGAAAAATGGCGGGAAAGTAATAAGATAAATGTGTGTGTGTGCGCGTATACCAGTGCTCCATTGACGGAACCAACGGTGGATATGGCAGCAGCCATCAGTGAAGGGACGGCTGAGATGTAACGAGATAGAGAGTAAAGAGAGAGTTTTTGTTTGGTGAGCTTCTGATGAGGAGAAGAGAGGAAATGGTGATAGGTGAAGGTCTTATAAGCAGAGTCAGACATGTTCAGTTCTTAACGTCCACAGGTTGAAGATTACCCTGAATGCCACGTGGCAACCGTAGGATACTTGAAGCTTCTGATTGGTTGGATGACTCTTGTAGGATTTTCTTTGCCACTTAAATAACCGGTTACCAGATTACCACACAAATTAAATTCTGGAAAATGAGGAATATATATTTATATATATATATTTGTCTTTTATGGGAATAAAAATAAAAACTTAAAAAATTAAAAAATTCAAAGATGAGATGAATAACCCATTTGTGGTTCTTCACAATTTTGTGTTCAATTTATTTATTTTAATAATTTTCACCATCATCTATTTCATAGAGGTGTATTAGAGGCTAGTGTTGTTTCAACGGGGATTGTTATGGGTTCCACATGCATACCAAAATTCGTGGGTCTAATTTTTCTAAAATATCTTGTAATTAATTATAATTTTAAATATATTTAATAGACATAAAAAATTAAAAAAAAAAAAGACAAATAGAATTTTTAAATAGAAATTATTTTACACTCTCCATTTATTGAAATAATCTATATAACGGGTCTAGTAAAAAAGATGAGAAATTAAAAATAAAAATTTAGTAAATCAAGCTAAGGATTAGAAATGGGCTTCTTCTTCAATTTGTTCGTAAGATAGCCCAATTTCTTTTTATTTTTATTATTATTTTCACTTGTGGGTAATCGAATTAGTAAGTACATTATTATTATTATTATTTTTCCATACAATAACTTAATATGTATATGTGCAGTAAAAAACAGTTCATCTACGAGAAATTTGTCTCTCTTCATACACATTATGCAGTCGCAAAAAATTACATATTAAGGGCTCTAAAATATCACTTCTAATGACCTCAAAAAATTACTTACAATAACATTTTTGAAAAATAAATAATTAAGCTCTATAAATGTTTAAAAAGGTAAAGAATATTATTTTTTTCATAAAAGATTGGTATTCTCGTTTCCGTTTTCTTTTTTTTTTAATAAAAATAAATAAATTATTTTTTTTGTTATATTATATTATAATAATAGGTGTGTTGTATGTTATTTAATTAATAAATATATAAATTTATTCTTAAAAAATATAATTAACATGACATGATACTATACATTATTATATTCCAAAATAAGATTTTTTTTTTTTTTTAAAAAAAAACTATACTATAAATTCGGATTATGACTGTGAGAAGTTGAGTGACACTTTTTAATAATTAAAGTGAAATGAAAAACACATGTGAAGCTCCTCCTCCTCCTCCTAATGAAGAAAAATATATTAGTAGGTGGGTAATCATTGCTGACTAGGTAAAGAGCTCCAATTATCACACAATCAAATTACATAATTTATAACACTGAATTAAGTAAAAGAAAAAACATTAATAATTTATTCTGTAGATAATAAATAAACGGAGGTAACAAAATCTTATATTAATTAATAATCAATATGATAAACCTAATCGTCGGCTACCTGAATGGCCCAAACACAAACAATCAATGAAAACATATTTGAGTGTCTACAATGATTGATTATTTCTACCAATGTAAAGATTTATAACTTTGTAAAGTTGACAGAAGACAAATTATGTTCTTATATTTAAAAATTTTAAATAAACATTCCTAGTTAATCTTAATAGTTATCAATTAGAAAGAAAAATGGGTCATTTGCATGTTCTAATTTTCTGACAAGTGAAAAAAGAACAGTTTAGAAAATGTACCTCCTTAACAATCCGTTTGCTTAGTTATTGTGAAAAAAAAGAAAAAAAAAATGTAAATGAATACAATGAGAGCATAATTTACACTACTTATGAAGTAGATAATTATTGTTATAAAAGTGGTAAGTAAGACAAGAATTAGACGGAAGAGCATTATAATTAAGCTATGGAGGGCTAGTAACATGAGATAAGGAAAGAAAAATGATGATAGAGAAAGACACTTTCATCGTTAAACTCGAAAGCCGAAAAGCTAATTATAATTACCTCCCTCTCTCCATCAAACAACAATTTTGAAAAGACACAAAAAGTAGGTGGGTAATCACCTCAATGAATTTGGCATCTTGTCTCCCTCCCTCCCTCTCTCTGTTTTCAATCTCCACTTCTCTTTACTAATTTCCTCAAAACACATAATTTTTCATCACCTCTCTACTACCTTTGTTTTTTTTCTAATTAAACTGACTGCACTTTCTATGTTAAGTACTTCTAGAAAACACAATCTAAATATATTTTTAACAAAACTTTTTATTTTAACTCTCTATCTTTTAAGCCGCTTCAAATACTCGATTGATCTCTTTGTTTACAGAACCAGTTACGACCTTTACCAAACAATAATGACTAACAACAGCCTCTCTAACTCACCTTCCTGAAGCCATAAGGCAATTCATGCAAAATCATCTTGGGCCAATAGTTATCGTTTGACAAGCAAATTAATGATAAGACTTTAACATAAGTTACTCAACAACCCTTTTGTAAATCAACTAATATAGAATACTAAATAAACCAAGTTATCAAAGATTAATTTAAGTAGTACAAATAAATACTACGGAGGAATTATCAAACTAGGATGAAAAAGAAAAGTGAGCTATACTAAAATAAAGAATACCACACAAGAACAAGACATCAATTCTAAGAATCAGTATGCTAGTAAACAAATGTCAGCTTATAAACTATGTCTGGCATTTACTTCTTTTAAAACTTTCTTTGTGACTTCTCCATGTTCGACCAGAATAGCTTGTTTTCCAAAAAAAAAAACATAAAATTTGCACACAATTTAGTGTTGATGCA